GGCCTGGGCTGTGATCCCTTCGCATCTTGCCAACGAATAGGCAGGAATAGACTGGGAAGGGCCAGGCTGCTGCAGGGAGTGGTGCAGTCCAGCAGGTGGCGCCCTCTTGAGCCCGGTTCCAGGGGTTCTGTATGTGGGGGGAGAGGGGTGTCTCTGGGACAGGCCTCGGCCTGGTTCTCCTGGCTCCGTCCCAGCTGGGACGCCTGCAGCCTGGCTCCCCAAGTCCCCAAGGCGCCCCCAGCCTCGCTGGGCTCAGTACCCCGCTGCTGGGAGCTGTCCCTGGGGCGGCTGGGCTGCGGGGTCTCCCGGCCCTGAACAAGGCTGTCTCCAGCAGCGCGCAGGAGGAGGAGGACCTGGCCTTGGCGCGGGCGCTTGCTGCGAGCGAGGAGGAGTACCAGAGGCGGCAGCAGCAGCAGGTGAGCTGAGTTGAGCTGCTGGAGGCTCCGTGCTGAGGCCCGGCTCTCACCAGGTTCTTCCCCACTCCTCGGCACCGGGGGCTGGAGCTCTGCACCCCCGTTCCCAGGCTGACGTGAGCCGAGGCAGGACTGTCCCCGGGGGCGGCCTGACCTCCCGCAGTGCGGAGACCCCACGGGCTAGGGGAGCCGAGCCCCTGCCAGCTCCAAGGGGAGGGCTCAGCCCTGCTGGGGCGAGGCCTGGGATGACTGCAGCAACCCCAGGCCGGTTTCGCCAGTCTGCCCCATCCCTGCCCTGGAGGCCCCTGAGTGCTGCGGGGGGGCGGGGCAGGGCAGGGGGGCGCTTGCTAACTCCTGCTGTTTTCACGTTACAGGCCCAGAGCCGGAGTTCGAGGCCATCAGACTGCAGCATGTTCTAGGCTGGGAGCACCACGATGCCTAGGGCCTGTCCACAGGGCCGGGTACCATCGCCCAGCTCTGCCAGGCCCTGCCGCTGGGTACCATCGCCCAGCTCTGCCAGGCCCTGCCGCCGGGTACCATCGCCCAGCTCTGCCAGGCCCTGCCCGAGCGCCACCTGCAGAGGGCCGGCGGGGCTTCTCCTGCCTCTTCCACAGCTAGAACCAACTGACCAAACGCTGGCTGCTCCCGCTCCCTGGACAATAGACCGTAGCTGAACCGCTTTGAGCTGCACGGGGCCGCCTCGTGCCAGGCCCCGTTCTCACAGACCAGAGCCGGCTGCAGCCGCGTGGGAGGAGCGACCTGCAGCCGCCAGCAGGCTGGCCGCAGCCAGGGAGGAGGAGCAACGCCAGCAGCCGTGGGCCTTGGGATCGATGGTGGGCATCGTGCCTCGGTCCCTCACCCACCTGCCACAGTGCCGAGAGTGGGGTGAAATGGGGGGGGCACCTCTGGCCTGGAGGTGGAGTGTTACACTTGGGGTGTCTTGACCCCAATACCTGCGCTCTGACCCAGGCTGGGTCATGTCCAGCCCTCTGCCCCACACACTACAAAGGGACAAGGACAGACCCCCGCTCAGCGCTGCCCTGCCCCGCGCAGGGCCTGCTGGATGCTTTAACGAGACGGGCTGCTCTACACACGTCTCCCTTCCCGCCCGAGGCTG